TGTTTGGGGGCCTGGCAGGGTAAGCTCAGGCCCCAGGGATGGGGCAGGAGGAGGAAGGGACGGGTGCAAGGAACTGGGCCTGGTTCATCTTTGGGTTTGTTGCAGTGAACCGAGCCGCCACGGGGTCAGCGCGGTCCCCATCGTATTGCGAGATCCTTGATGCGCTGCCAGGATCTTTCCACCCATCGCAGGGCCCCTGCTGGGCTGCATGCCACCTGAGTTTTCCAACCCGTTGCTTGGCTCTGCGGGGCTGTATGGGGTTCCAGGTCATTGCGTGCCTCTTACTGGACTATGTGGAGTCCCAGATCATGAATGCCCACCTATCCTCCCTGGGTTGGACTGCATGCCGTTCCGAGTCACTGTTTGACACCCTTGGAGCTGCATGGGGCACTTTCATTGGATGGTGTCTACTGGACCACTGAACTTTTCGGACCCATTGTTCTTGGTACCCGCAGAGACTTTTTCACACATTCCCACCGGCCTCCTGAACACTTAGTGGCATGGCTAGCCCTGCCCTTTGTGACCTCTTGTTGCCATGCTCCATATCTGAGACACCTGGCCCTTGATTCCAACCCTGTCTTCCTTCAGGATGGGAGCTACAGTTTTTGTGCAGCCCCTGGACCTGGTGAAGAATCGGATGCAGCTGAGCGGGGAAGGAGCCAAGACACGAGAGTACAAAACCAGCTTCCATGCCCTCACCAGTATCCTGAGAGCAGAAGGGCTGAGGGGCATTTACACCGGGTACTGGGGCCAGAGGATGGGGGTAGGGTGTGGGTTGGCAGCTCCAGACCTTGGCTTGATGCACCGACCCCTTCACTTTCCAGGCTGTCAGCTGGCCTGCTGCGCCAGGCCACCTACACCACTACTCGCCTTGGTATCTATACCGTGCTGTTTGAGCGCCTGACTGGGGCTGATGGTACACCCCCTGGTTTTCTGCTGAAGGCCGTGATAGGCATGACTGCAGGTGCAACTGGCGCCTTTGTGGGAACACCAGCTGAGGTGGCTCTTATCCGCATGACCGCTGATGGCCGGTGAGTTCCAGGTCTGAGCCTGCCCCCAGCCCCATTCCCTGGAATCTAGAATGAAAGAATTAATTTTTTATCTTAGATCTAGAGCACAGCTTTCACCTTTTCACAGCGTTCTGGCCTCCCTTTCTTTGCTCTTGCGGGGGAAGGGCAGTCTATCCTGAACTTGGCCTCTCCCTGCCTTCCCGCCAGGCTTCCAGCTGACCAGCGCCGTGGCTACAAAAACGTGTTTAATGCCCTGATCCGAATTGTCCGGGAAGAAGGCGTCCCCACCCTATGGAGGGTGAGTGAAGGGGCTGGAGACGGGGTATATCCGGGGGAGGCGTCAGGGCCAGGGTGTTTCTGACTCCTCCCCTACTCCGCTACCCCAGGGCTGTATCCCTACCATGGCTCGGGCCGTCGTCGTCAATGCTGCCCAGCTCGCCTCCTACTCCCAGTCCAAGCAGTTTTTACTGGACTCAGGTGAGACCCAGAGCTGGGCCCTCAGCTCCCGGCCTGGCCTGCACCAGCTCCGAGCTGACTGCCACCCTCTGCTCCGCTTTCCCCACCCCAGGCTACTTCTCTGACAACATCCTGTGCCACTTCTGTGCCAGCATGATCAGCGGCCTGGTCACCACTGCCGCCTCCATGCCCGTGGACATTGCCAAGACCCGGTGAGTGTACCGACCTGGGCCTGGAGAGGGACAGGAGGACCCCTTATGTCTCTCACACCCCTGCCTCCTCTCCTTCAGGATCCAGAACATGCGAATGATTGACGGGAAGCCGGAATACAAGAATGGGCTGGTGAGGAAGCTGGGCTGGGGGCTCGGGCTGCAGGATTTGGCGCTCCAGGAGGGCGGTGTGGGGAGCTGGGTATGAGGGGCAGGGCCTCAGAGGCTGGGTCCTAGCCCTAGCGCCCTGCCTGCCTGCCTGTCTAGGACGTGCTGGTGAAGGTTGTTCGCTACGAGGGCTTCTTCAGCCTGTGGAAGGGCTTTACACCGTACTATGCCCGCCTGGGCCCCCACACCGTCCTCACCTTCATCTTCTTGGAGCAGATGAACAAGGCCTACAAGCGTCTCTTCCTCAGTGGCTGAGGCGGGTGAGGGGCCTGGAGCCGCCGTGCTGGGGCTCCATCTCGCCTGCTGCTCCTACAGTTAGTGCGCCCCCCCGGGGGCCTGGACTCTGCTGCCCTGGGCCCCTCTATTTATTTTCCCTCCACAGTGTGGTTCCCTCCTCTGCGGTCAAGGACTTTGGTCTGTCCTACCCCTGCTCCAGCTTGCCCTCCTTGTCCTCAACCTCGTGATCTCTCTGTCCCTGGCTGTGCCTTGAAGGGGGAGCTGGGAAACTCCCTGTGGATTTCTGGCCTCCTCTTGGATATGAGTTTCAGGGCATGTAGGACAGCAGAAGACCCCCCCCCCCCGTTCTCAGTGGAGAAACCAAGGCAGAGCTGAGGGAACAGAAGAGAGCAGAAGCTGTTCAGGGGGTCAAGGGTCTGCCATGGGAGGACATGGCTCTTCCTTCCTTCACCTCGCTGAGGACATAATCAATAAATTGGATTGATGACACCACCCCCAAATCTGGAGAGTTGTGGGAGCAGGAGAGGGAGGAGGCTGGAGAAAGAAGCAGATGCCCCTGGAGAACAGGAACTGGAGTTTTTAAGAAACATTACTAAAGAAAAAGTACCCGTGGGTTTTATGCAAATGTTATGTAAATCAGTATTGCAGCAGCTTACATGAGTAAGGAAAACCCAAGCTCCAGGCCCTGTGTGTGGCTTCCCAGCCACTGGCCCAAAAATGTGACAGACACCCAGTCATCTCCTGTAATCCCTAGGAAAAGCCTCTGGGGTCTGCTGACTGCTTCTGCAGCCTCAGGAGGGAGGGAACAGAGTCTGAGAGGGGAAAGCTGACCTGCAGAGGGTAGAGTGGACGTAGAGTCAGGCGCCAAAGCCCAGAGGCTTGAGGAAAGGGAAGATGTTGGCCGGAGACTTGATTTGGGCTCCAGGCTGGGAAAAGTGACCGCCTTCTCCATTTCTTTAGATCTGTGACTCCCAGTCCCTGCCCTCAAGCCTAGAAATCTCTTGGAGCATAAAAGGACATAGGAAGGTCAATCGGAAGGAGGGCTTGGTGGCGTGAGGCCCGAAGGCTTCTCCTGAGCTAGGCCAGGGAACAGGCAGGCAGCAGGTGGGAGCTGTCCCCTTGGCAGAACCCCATCAGAAGGAGAGGTTGAGCTCAGCAGCCTGGTGGCGCTGCTGGGCCTTCCCACTGCCTCTTCTACCTGCTCCCTTCACATGTGGGCCTGGGCCATGGTGGCCACTCAGAGCTTGAAGCCTGGACCTTGTCCTTAAGGAGTTCCAAGTTCAGAGGGGACTGTGACAGAGGGAAACTGGGAGTGCAGCAGTTGGCCGTTGCGGGGTGACTTGGAGCACCGGGCCCAACCAGGGAGAGGAGGAACGCTGCACAGTACCAGACTGGTCTGGGAAGCAGGGGCAGCGCGCCTGGCAGAGGCTTAGAGGACAAACTCTGGGGAACAGGTGATTTCTGCAAAGTGTCTGCCTAGAGAGGGGAAGCTGGACTGCCAGGTGGGCTGGCGCACACGAGTCGTCGATTGCCGAGCTCCAGTTGTCTTCTGTCCGGGGAAGAGTACAAAGCAGAAGAGAGATGTGGTCAGGTTTTCAAGTTAGGAAGATTCTTCCTGCACCGTCTGGAGGAGGGAGTCTCCGTGGAGCCAGGGAGGCTCAGCCCTTACTCCCATTCTCTAGACCCTACGCCTTGGTTCAGGCAGGAGACAAAGCAGGAGAGAGATCCACCCACTGCCACGGTCAGGTGCAAAATCTGCACCCGGGGAGACAAGTGGCCTCCACTTGTCTGTCCCCTGGCTTGACAGCAGGAAACCTGAAAGTAATTCCATAAAACCCACCAAGATGGCTCACACAGCCAGGCCCTCTCCTCCACTGTCCTGCTGCCCCGGGCCAAGCAGGAGGGCTGCATTTCTGACGCCGTCGGTGCCTGCAGGCACCCCCTGCATTCCTGGGTTCGCAGCCTGCCCGCAGGTAGCCCCAACTATGTCACTGAGCTCCTGGGAAGCTTACGGTTCTTGAGCTGGAACTGGTGTTTGGGGTGGCCTGGTAAGGGGTGACCCCTGGAAGAGAGGAGGCACCCCAGGTGGGAGAAGTGGTGGCCAAGACTAGAGCTTTGAGGGTGAACAGTGCAACTAGGATGGGGCGGCTGAGGCCTCGGGAGTGCTAGTGACCAGTGCCCTCGCCACTGTTTCCCTCTTCAAAAGAATCAAAATTCTATCTTAAAATTATTTTTTATTATACAAGTAACATCTGATGGTGGAAAACTGGAAAATGCCAAACAGAGGAAAAGAAAAAACCACCCATGTGTATATCACCCAGAGACAATCAGGGCTCACATCTTGACAAAGCTCTTTCCAAGTTTTCTTCAACACACAGATACATGTGGGAAGCATGCTCTGTTCTGTTTATTAATGGCTTTTTCCTAAAGTGTCCCCCAAGCGCTGGTAGTCACCTAGTGGTCTGGGAACCCTGCCTTGCAGCGTAGGGAGCTCCCTTTGTTCTCTGACCCACCCAACTCCATCTCACTGCCCCTCCTGATTTGCTGGGTCTGAGATTGTGGTGTGAAAATAAGGCTCCTGATAAAGGAAGAATAATTAAGGCCTCCCCTGATGCTGTGTTCTGTACCCACCCGCCCTGGCTGGATCCCAGTAGGAAAGCCCGTCAGAGCCTCTCCAGGTCCTCCAACTGCCCGCCCTCAGAGGCTGTGGCCAGAGTACCTAACGCCCACTGTACCCAGCAGGTCCTGACCGCGACCCAAACTCAGGGCTGAGGGCCGCCGTCCCGCCAGCAGGGGCCCCACCCGACCATTAGGTCGTACCCACAAGAAAAGGCTAGAGCGGAAAGTGGGAAGTGAGCCTCGGAAGAAAAGCAGCCAGGCATGGGGCACCATCACTTGCCTTCCCCTCTGCAGCTCCAGGTGCGTGGTGTGCGTGGCTGTGGCCAGGGCCTGCGGTGCCCCGCTGCCAGACCCAGGTCAGCAGCATGATGAGGACCCCAGAGGCAAACAGGAGCCAGAGGAGACCCAAGATGTAAAAGCCCAAGGGGAAGAGGCAGCAAAAGTCAGAAATGAGAAAAGGGTCATTTTGGGAGCCATCCAGAGTCCCTTGAACCACCCTGAGGATCTTCAGGGAGTTGGCATACTCAGAGATGAGTGTTGTGGTGGGTTCTAAGGTGGCAGAGACTGAAATGAATTCCACAGAGGTTGAGAATTTGGTTGGTTCTGAGGTGGTTTGAGTTGTGAGTTCTGGGGTAGTTGGGGTGGTGGGGGGCTTTGGGGGGGTGGGGGTGGTGGAGGGCTCAGTAGTGGGTTTCAGGGTTGTAGAGAAGATGGGTCCTGTGATAGCTGGGAATGTGGTCTTTATCTTACTTGGAAGCCAGGAGGGTGTTTGGCCTCTCAGAGAGGTGGTAAGTACTGAGTGAAATGGGTCCCAGTGGGTTGGCTGGGCTTCGCTGGTGGTGAAGGACTGGACCGCAGCCCTTGTGGAAGGCACACTGTCGCTCTCATAGTCCTCATCGTAGTCCAGCTGGTCCCCACTGGCGGTGCAGCCCTTCCCCATGTACGCGGAGACAGACATGTTGTGCGGATGGTCACATTGCACACTTTCCACGTTGGGGGTCATGGCCTGGGCGTCCACACCCTCCTTCCATAAGTAGACGCTCTGACTGTTCCTCCTCAGCCAGTGGCTAAAATGGAGGATCCCGCAATCGCAGAACCAGGGGTTGTCATGGAAAAAAGTAAAAGACAGCATGGGGGCCCCGAGAAAGCCCTTGGGGATGGTGCGCAGCAAGTTCCCCTGGAGGTAGAGGGTGTGCAGCTCGTCCAGCCCATGGAGGAACCCGGGGGGCAGCTCACTCAGCCTGTTGTCCGCCAGGTTGAGCTTCTGCAGCTGGCTGGTGGTCGCCAGGAGCTCGGGGGCAGAGTTGTCAGATTGTTGCCACGCAGGGAGAGCTCGTGGAGGTGGGTCAGGCCCTCCAGGGCCCCGGGAGACAAGGAGGTCAGCTCGTTGAAGGATACGTCGAGGGTAGCAAGTGCCGGCAGCGCCTGTCCCAGCGAGGGCAGGCTTCTCAGCTTATTGTGGGAGATGGTCAGGGTCTCCAGCTGTGGCAGCTTCCCGTCGACTTCCAGGCTGGTCACCTGGCTCCTACTCAGGTGCAGCTGAGTGAGGGAAGTCAGTGACACCAGGGAGGCAGTGGAGAAGGTGCCCAGAGGGTTCTCTCCCAGGTGCAGGATGGCAGTTTCTGCCGGCAGATCCGGAGGCGGCGCCTTCAGGCCTAGGTTATCACAGTTCAATTCCATCCGCTTGGCCACTATGGAGACCTCACAGATGGAACTGGGGTGTGAAGGGCTTGGCAGCAGAAGCAGCAGAAAGAGGAGAGGCATGGGGACCTGTGGGCAAAGGGAGGGCTTGAGCCGGCGCTCCTCTGGCCCCTGACAGCATTCCTCCAGGCCTGAGCCCCCACTGCAGCCTCCAGGATCCCGCCCAGAACCTCAGTTCCCGCACCTCCCACCCTCTCCACTCCCCCTACCACCTTGCCCCTCAAACCCTAAACTGCTAGCTCCAGGTCCTTGGCCCCCTCCTCCCGCCGCCCCGGCCCCAGCTTACAGGCTGCCAGAAAGACCTCCCAAGACACAGAGCTTCTTCCAGAGTGTGACCTGGTCCTTCTCTCTCCCAGCTCCAGGGAGCGCCTGGTCGGGGCAGGAAGGGGGTGGGGATGGGGAGGAAATGCCAGCCTGATAGGGACTCCTGGGGCCCAGGGAATGGTCTCCCTCCCGGACACAGGCCCTTATCACCTCCTTCCACGACTTTCCCCCAAGCCCTCCTTTTGGCTCCTCTCTCTCCCACTTTCCTTCTACCCCAGGGAGTCTGGGACTCCTCCCATCACTCTCCCAGTTTTTCAAAACCTCTCCAGCTGCCACTCTCATTTCCTCTCCACAGCTACATTCTTCGAGTTGCCTGCTTTTAACCCTCACCTCCCTCTGCTTCCTCACCCTACTCTAGGCTGTTTCTCCCCCACCCCCACTCCGTGGACTCAGTTCTTTGCCATGGTTGCCAGTGACCCCTGACCCTCTCCTCCCACTGGCCGCTCTTCCGCATGATCTGACTACCACAGCCTGCACAGCCATGCCCGCTCCTACCTTGAGACTCATGACAGTCATTTTTTTCCTTGGTTTTCCTCTTGCCTCTCTGGCTGGCCCTCCTCAGTCTCCTTTGTGGATTCCTCTTCCTCTGCCTTTCATGAAGAATGAACCTGCCCCCAGAGCTCCGTCTCTAACCCTCTTCTTTTCTTAGGATCAATGAGTACCTGAGATTATCCTCATCCGGTCCCTTGCCTTCTGCCACTGCCTACCCTCCAGTGACTCTCAAATTTTTGTCTCCAGCTCAGACCCCTCTCCTGAGACCCAAGTACAGATGTCCCACTGCTTTTGGATTTTTTGGCTGTCCCACAGGCACTCACACCATATGTCCAAAACTGAGCTCATCATCTCTCCAAAAATTTCTCCTCTTGTGTCGTCCAGCCTAGTGAATGGTACCATCATCCACTCACTTATCCAGCCCTTCACTCGGTACAAACCAGATCCCTGACAGCCATCCTTAACTCCTCCCCTCCTCCACTCCCACCTCCAGCCTGTCACCAAGTCTCGCTGACTTTACCTCCTAATTTTTCTCAAAGCCACTTCCCTCCATCCACGTGGCCACCGTTCCTCAGCCAGCACGCCCGCTCCCCTCCACTGCTTCCCTGCAGCAGCCTCCCGGCTGCTCTCCCCACTTTCTCACTTCCCTCCCTCTCCCACCCGAGAGGGGTCTTTCAGAAATGCAAATTTGCTCATGTCCTTCCCCTGCCTGAAACTCACCAGTAGCTCTCACCTCAGAACTCGCAGGAGGAAGTCCAGGACCCCTAACATGGCTTACAGGGTCCTTTGTGATCTGACCCTGGCCCACCTGTCCAGCCCCATCTCTTAACCCTCCAACTTTCACTCCAGATTATTCTTTCTTGTGCCGGGACTCTTCTTCTCACCCCTTATCCCCTTCTGCCTAACTCCTATCTGGAAAGTTCTTTCCAGAAAGTTCTTCCTCCGGAAAGCTTTTTAGGACTTCCCAAGAGCAGGTTAGGTGCCTCTTCCAGAAAATCAGCCACCGTGTCTGTTGGTCCACAGCCCCTTCCAATGATGAAAACGTCCTGTCAACTGTCCCCCAAAAGAGGCACCATGCAGCCATGTGAGCCTGCCTCTCTGCTCACTGGCGAATGGACAAAGGGTGGGCACTTAAGCCAGAAGCAGTTAATCCATAGACTGGCCATATATAATTTGCAGACTGCAAAAAGTATTTGAAAACACAGAGAAAATGAGGCCCTCAGCAGCAAGAAGTGAGGCAAAGAGTTGCACAGAGAGAGGCCATGAGGAGGAGTAAGACCCCTAAAGCTGATGGGTGTTTTGTTTGTTTGTTTTTTCCTCTTTGGCATCAGTTAGGGATTTTAACTGTAAGCAACAGAAAATGTTCTCCCTAATTTAGACTGAAGAGGAATTTATTAAATATACACTGGCTACTTCACAGTGAGGTTTAGAGAACCAGACATGGGAGACTGTGTAGCTAGGAGCAGTGCCCAGAACCAGGCTGCAGAACCAGTCTGGTGAGCAAAACTCTGCTCTTGGTGCAAGACCAGGTCACTGAAGCTTGCACTGCTCTCACTGCTGAGCCAGGAACTCAGTGGCACCACAACCTCCCGGCTGCAGAGAGAGAATCCTGCATTGCCCCCACCCCTTTGTGATACAAGCTCCTGATTTAAAGTCTGGATGTGAATGTGACTGGCTTTGTGCCTGTGACCCAGCTGCAAGGGAGTCTAGGAAATCAAGTATCTGGCATTTGCAGCTTCTGTAGTAGGAGGAAGGTTCCGCTTCTCCAAAGATTTCCAAGTGAAGGATTTTGCAGACACAGTAAAGAGATTCATATGCTTTGGCACCTACTGAAACAGTCCTAAAAACATGAAGGTTTTACTTTCTTCACAAGTCAGTGTCCTGAATTGTTTCTAATTTGTTTCGAATCTTTGAATGCTTGGAATTAACCCTACCTGGCCACTATGCATTATTCTTTTAATACAATTCTAGGTTAGTTTGTTCACATTTTATTTAGAACTTTTACATCTAAGTTAGAAAATAGGAGTGGCCCATAGACTTCTTTTGAAGATCTTTGTCTTTTTCTGTTTGTTTGTTTTGTTTTATTGTCAGAATTATGCTGGCCTTGTAAAATAAGTTGGAAATTTTTATGTTCTCTGGAAAAGGTAGATATTGTAGGGTTTTTCCGTGCAGTTTTGGTGGAATTTGCCTATAAAACCATCTGGACATGATGCCGCTTGGGGGATAGCTCCTCAAATACCTTTCCAATAATTATTTGTTCAAGTTTCTACATCTTCAGTCAATTTTGGTAACTGCTGTTTTTCTAATAAAATATCTATTTCATGTGGCTCTTGAAATTTATTAGTGCAAGTTTGAATATTTTATACTTTTATCATTTGTTAAAATCTCTATATCTGTGGTTATGGCCCCTAATGTTGTTTATATATATTTTCTCTCTTCTCTCCCTGTCCCCCTTTCTTTCTTCACCAGACTTGCCAAAGGTTGGTCTATTTTATTGGACTAGTCAAAGAACCAGATTTATTATTTTTAATAGTCAATTGCTTTTTTTTTACTTATTTGATGAGGAGCGTCTATTTTTATCTTTAATACTTTCTCATACTTTGAGCGTATTTTCATGTTCTCTCACTACCTTCTTGAGTTGAAATCTTTTCATTTATTTTCAGTCTTCTTGCTTTTCGGGTAAATTCATTTAATTTATACTTTTCATTTAAGGACTGCTTTGTGCCATCTATGTTTTATCTTGTAATACTTAAGATGAATATTTGTCATTTTTTAAATCCATCATCTATTCCTGTAAATAAGAGGACCCTCATTTCCTTTTGGGAGATTACAGCTCTCCAGATGAGTGCAAACTTTTTGGGAGTAGGTACCCTGACCTCTTGCTTTGGGACCCCAATTGTCTTTGGAAGTTTATTCCACTACATCCTTCCTATCAGCACTTGAGTTCAGCTCATGGATGTGACCTAATCTTGGACAACCATACTCCCTCTCCCAGGATTTCAAATGGTATATGAGGTGACGAAAGAAGAGAAAATAGAATTGGACTTCATTCGTTTCAACAAAGTGCTCAGGAAAAGCTGTAGAACAGCTCCTGATACTGAGCAGAGCCACCTGATTCCTTAGCAGTCCTGCATTTCCAGCGTTCACTTGTATCCACTGAGCTTCTGCATCTTTCCAAGAAGTCTGTGTTGGATTGAGTAACACAGAGTTGATTTCTGTTGCATGCACCTGAAGAAATCCAATTCAGTGTTATAGCTGTGGTTCATTCTTAAAGTGTTTGCAGAAGACATTTGCTGGAGGTCTGTTCAAGACCCATTCAACTTTTCCTCCTTGTTTTCCTTTTGAGAAAATACCCCATCCTTAGAATTTCTGGTGGGAATGATTCTATCCCAGCTGCATGAGTGGCCAATCACTAGACTTCCCCCCCTTTGACACAGTTTAGGGTCCAAACAAGTACCCTAGTACAAAGGTGGTCAGGGTATCCATGGTCAGAGTGATTGGTCCAAGGACAGAAACAGGAGTTGGTCCTTTTATAATGAAGCCCAAGACTTCTGTTGGATTTTAAGGTGTACATACTTTCTCTGCATGTGGACAAGGACATATGTAATTCCAGCTGAGCTGTTGGCATCCATCTTGTGATCACAAGGGGATCTGGACATAGGATGAAGCTAATGTCAGAGGTGGTATAATGGGTAAAACATGGAAAAAAATCAGGTTCTTGGCATCATTGAGATGCATCAAACCAGTTCTGAAGTTCAGTGAGTTCAAAACTAATATGTTTAAAAAAATAATTGGTATTGGAATGTTACTTGCAATATAACCAGCTTAAAGGTTATATTTCCTATTTTTCTTTCTTTAAAGTGAAATTATTTATGAAGATTTTTTTTAACCTCAGGTGGGTTTTTAAAAAATTAAACATGATTTTGAGATAGTTGTAGATTCATATACAGTTGTAAGAAATAAGACAGAGATCCCATGTGCCCTTCACCCAGTTTTCCCCAGTGGCAATGTCTTGCAAAACTGTAGTACATACAGTATCACAACCATGATACTGACATTGTTCTGCCAGGATCCAGAACATTTCCATCCCCTTGAGAGCCCCCCATGTTGCCCTTTAATAACCTCGCCCTCCTCCTTCCTATCCTCACCCCTCCTTACCCCTGACAGCCACTACTAACCTGTTGAGCATTTCTATAATCTTGTCATTTCAAGAATGTTCTATAAATGGGATCAAACAGTATGCAACCTTTTGGAACTGGCTTTTTTTCCTCAGTGTAATTCTCTGGAGATTCATACAGGTTGTCATGTGCATCCAGAGTTCACTTCTTTTAATTGATGAGTAGGAATCCCAAATATGTATGTTTCACAGTTTATCAGTTTACCAACAGAGGGACATATGGGCTGATTTCAACTGTTGCCTTATTACAAATAGATCCCTATAAACATTAGTGTTTATAATCTTTACAATTTTTGTGTGAATACAAGTCTTCATTTTCCTGGAGGAAAAAAAATTGCCCAGAA